GAAATGGACCCTCAGACTAAAGGTTCAATATACACTAAATACATTCAATTTACAAAGTGCCCTGCTCACATTTATACGGCGTGCCACGTCTTTCCAGTCCCACTCTGATGGCTACCTCTGTGGTCCACAGGAGAATTGTGGAGCAAGTTGAATTTGCCTTCAATAACTTCCTAGCAGCTTTTCTACACATTTCCCTTTAAACTCTATTTTCTCTCATATTCAGATTTAGGTTTTAATTATCTTCTTACCGAATGTGGGGTTTAGTTACCACTTTTTTCGTGACAATTCATATGGTGGCTTTAGATCCCTAATTATTAACTTTTGATAAATAATGAGGTATCTAGAGAATGCTAAAATTTGACAGTATTTTCAGGAGTATATCCCACTCCAGGTTAGATTGTACCTTTGTAGTATTTACTCCCATCAATTCAGCTAAAATTATGTAGGTAAAATATAGCCAAGGTATGTTTATTGATGACATAAGAGTTATTAAAATAATTAATAACAGGTTTATGGTTTTTGAAATGATTATACATAAAACAGCCTTTGATCCTGTGCATAAAGAGAGTAGAGTCACCAATGAGAGAGTAAACTCTGCTCCCCTTCCTATGATAACGCAATAGGAAACTGCCATAATAATAGTGCTAAGGCTATAGACAAGTGAGTAGTGTTCAAATTATTCAGTGCCATACTATGAATTGAAGACTATATTAGAAAACAACCATTACTAGAAAATTACTGACTAGCATAGAGTTAAAATACAGAACAGAGAATCTTAGCAAGCTTTCTGCGTCATAGCCAACCAAAGAGAAACTGGAATTTACTGATATGCTGTTGCACATTACAAAATGCTAGGTAGGAAAAATAAATATGTGGTTCTGGAAAACAGAGCTGACACTAAGGGAAACATCTAGGAATATTAAAATACAGCAAAGAAGGTTCGATCTCTTCATCCCTAGTGTACTCCTGATACAGGGTAGGCGCCTAGAAAATGGATATTAAACTAAACCAAGTTATTTTTGTAAATGGTGCAGTTCCACATCTATGAATTGAGTAATTTGTGTGATTTAGAGACAGACCATATTCTGCTGTCAATTCTCTTCAAAATATATTAACAAATATTCTTAGCCAATAGACCTTTGCTCCAAGAGTAGGTTTATACTACCAAAAGCCACTGATGCCACAAAATTACTTAATTTTTGCTATCATCAAGGAAGAGGCTTTTAATTTCCCACAATAGACATACTAAGAAAAAACCCATTCAATGAATGTTTTGGTTTGGGGACAATTTCACAGGGTGAAGATGGGAGGGCTCTACCCCAGCATTGACCCTGTGAATTCACCTCCTGTAACTCATACAGTTCACAGACTCCTCTGCTGCATAGACACCCGCGGCACAGCCACTTGCATTTGAAACCCACTGGGTTCCAGGAAAGGCTTGTGGCTGACAGGTCAGTGCACTAAAGCTGTGAGCCAACAACAGGGACTTCCACTTCTGCTTTCTGAGACCAAGCTGTCTGGGGAAAATGCTGACACGTCTCTACTTCTCTTCCTGTCTCTGTCTTCCTGTTGATCTGTGTGTGCTTTTATATCTTTATCACTTATCACTTGTTCCACTTCATCCCAAAAGAATAAAGGAGATGAGTAACGAATTCAGACAACCTGCTAGTCCCAATTCAGTTGAACCCCTCTTAAGGCAGCCAACAGTAAAAATCTCAGATTTTAAAAGATGATGGACACATTATGAGGTGATTATTCACACTACACAACAGTTTTAGAACCCGGAATGAGAAAGCTGAAAAGGGATCTTAGAAATCTTTCATTACACTCACCCTCTTTTGAGAATAGTAAGCCCACAGAGGGAAAATGACTCGGCCAATGACCCTCTCATTCTTAACTCATTCTTTGCAGAAAGGAAAGTTTTGCAACCAGAACTCTAAATTTTTAGAGCGATTAAAGTGTGATTATTGGCCAGGTGCAGGGGCTTACTCCTGTAATCCCAGCACTTCGGGAGGCCAAGGCAGGCAGACAACTTGAGCTCAGGAGTTCAAGACCAGCCTGGGCAACATGGCAAAAGCTTGTTTCTGCATAAAATATAAAAATTAGCCAGGCATGGTGGCACACACCTGTAGTCGCAGCTACTTGGGAGGCTGAAGTGGGAGGCTCACTTGAGCCCCAGAGGCACAGGTTGCAGTGCATCAAGATCATACCACTACACTCCAGCCTGAGCAATAGAGCAAGACACTGCCTCAGAAAAAAAAAAGGATGATTTTATTTAAAACGATTTAAGTTAGACACACATTCCTAGGAAAACACTATTACATGTACTGAGGGACAATTGCTTGTGAAATGGAGTGTGAATGTATGTGGTACCACATCCACATATGTCATTTCATATTCTAGAATAATGAAAACCATTGCACATCCAAATTAATAGTATTTCCTATTAACAACTTGTGTTTGGAATAAATACATATTAACAGAACCATCCAGATAGGTAATTAATGAATGTCCTGAGGGTATATAATGATACAAATATATTTTAAAGCCTTGAGAGGAGACAAATTACTAATGAGGTCAAGGCCACTTCATTTGCCCTTGATAGCCTTGTGTGAACACACTCTCAGCTGCCTTCTGAACACTCTCCAGGTTCAACTTCTACAACCTGCCTCTGTGATTTATCAGGTAGCAGCTCTGTGAGCAACTAGCCGTGTGCACGTGGGCACACGCATGCACCCACACACGATGCTCCTAGGAACAAAAGCTGGCACAGAACCTTAACTGAATTCAATAGAAAAAAATGCCTTTTTTTTTTTTTTTTTAAAACTTGGTGCAGGCACCCTTCTGAGGGCCACACTGTCACTCTGGGCTTTTGTCCTGGCTGGCTCCTGATTTTTCAATGCACACTGAAAATGCCACTCCTGCACACACACTCCACGGAGGCAGCTTTGGCTTGCTGCCACCTGCACTCGCTGAATTAAGAAGTGTGGATCCATTGCTATTATGGAGCCTGAAGCAGAGCCAAGAAGAAATCTCAAAGGACCCACTCCCTAGACATATGTGAATAGAATAAAAATGAGACACAAATGATAGCACGAAGCCTCCAGCACTCTTTGGACAAAGTGAGGGGCTGTGTTGCAGGTCAGGAGAATGTTCTTGTTCTTGGGAAAGAAATAAAATTAAAATATGCTATCCTTTACATAGGAAGTTCCTTCAGACCTATCATCAACAGAGGGGGTCTTTTTCTGTTGTTCTCCCCCAAGTAGGAGTTGGAATTTCTTAAAGCGAAGAAATACATTCAAGGCTGAGTTTAGAGGTGTCTCCATGACTCCATACCCAGGGTTCCCAGCCTGCTGATCAGATCACAGAGGAAGCAATCTCATATGCTCATTTATACTAAAGTGTTAAAGATTCGATGTGTTACTTCTCCCAGAGGTAGTTGCTTTCCAGAGGCCCATGGACAGCAAACAATATTTAACCTAAAGGAATATACGGAACTTCAGACACCAGAATTTCAGATAGAATTTCAGGCACCAGAGCTTTTTAACCCTACCCAGGAAACCATTTATTGATGCATGGTGTATCTAAACATACCTGTCTGATGCAGTGACAGAAAAAAAAAAGAGAGTGTCATACAAGCAAACCTATAAGAGCATGTCATGGCTTCTGCTACTTTTTCTTTCTCTTTCCCTTATCCATTCTAACCCCTTAATGGTTCCTGCAACTTCATGTCTCTGATTCCACTGTCCCATGTGATTGAACCAGTTATGAAGATTCAGCAAAACATTTATCACACGTTTCATTGGTAAAGATAAACCCAGTGCTGAGATCATTGCAAAATGAAATTAGAGGTCAAAAACAGTGTCACAAAATAGAACAAAATGGCAAACATTGAGGTGGAAATGTTAGGCTACACAACAGCTAGCACAAATGGCACACAAAACTGCAGGAATCACCAATGTTTTTATGAGAAAGGAGGCATTTAAACTAATGATGCTTGATTCCACTGCAGTGTGGTTCCAAGGGCAGGGCAAGAAGATGGGTCCACCCCCCAGGGCAGGCAATCAAGGGGTCCATGGCCTGGAAGAGACTTAAAAACAATAATAAAAGGCACTGAAAGCCAGTGTGCTTTTTATTATCACCACTGCAAGCAATTCTAAACAATATCAGTGACAAACTGCTCTCCCCACCACCAAAAAAAAAATCTTTTGTTGGTCTAAGTTCTACACAATCGCTGAAGTTGCAGTTGAATTTTAGGAATATAAATGTATGCTTCAACTCAGCACTTTTTAAAATTGTGCCTTCCTTAGTAAACATTGCATTCTACATGGGAGTTGATTCAGAGAATTAACTCCATGCATTTATTTTGAGAGTAAGTACAAAACAAAGCTCGCTTTGGGCACAATTTGAGTCTGAGCCTCCCTGGTACTATACTACATATTCCTGTTTTCAAACAATTGATTGAAATAAACAATGATAGCTCAGTGATTGTAAAGACAAACAGAACTTGAGTTACTTCAATTCTGTCATTCTATGTGACTGCTTGGAGTTTTTTATTGTGTTTAAATTTTCTGGAATTTATTGTGAAATGGGATTTTATGTATTTCTGCCAAATGTATCCTTATGTTTAAGGCTTTTTCTTATTTATTTAATCTGTTCCTTCATGTGAAAGAAAGCTTTCAAAATTAAAATTAATGAAAAATGTTCTTTGATCAAAGATAGATAGAAACTTCATGAATATGGGAAGAAAAATAACTTTGACAAAGTCACTGACAAATGTGCAGAAGTTAATCACAAAAACAGAAACCAAAAAATCACTATTCATGACTGTGAAAGACCAATATATAGGTATAAGTTTTCATCCCTTTATTCAAAAAAATACACTAATGAAATTAAAATATTATACTATAACTTTATTTCTTTTTTTGGATTGTAGTATTTATTGTATTTTTAGTTTTTATTGAAATGACACAAAATTTCATAAAAGAACATTTCTGGCCATCATTATTTTCATTTCATGTTGCGATTATTACTAAAAACAGCTTTGTCACATAGAGCAAAGAGGTTTTAAAACTCTGGGTGTTAAACACTAGCCCTAGCGCTCTAATCTGTTACCTGCTTTGTTTTTGTGGTTCCCTGACTCTCTCCCTCTCCTTAGCCTGGGCCTTCCCCTCCCCCGACCCACACCCCCATCACTCCAAACAAGACTTGTTAGAAAGGTAGATCTAATGCACTTAAAATAATTCACCTCTTCTCTCGGTTTCATCGGTCTTTCTCCCACTTTTTCTTATAGAGAGTCAGGTTACAAAATTAGAAGAGTTAAAACTCAGTCCTTCACTCTCTTTTCCTATTTGCCGAGAGTAGAGATGAGCAGAAGCATAATTGGCCAGGACTCACCAATCCACCTATGAGAAGCTGAGCCAGGCTGGGGGAGTGGGAGAAAGGATTCAGACAGCACAAACCCTACTTTGACTCTGACCCCAGGCATGCCGCCTCCAGCCAGGAGTATTCCTGGCTTTCCTTTCTGGAAGAGCATCTGAGAAAACATTGTCCTGAGATGTAAAACTGCCCTCCACACTCAGGCCCCCAGCATCACCCATCACTCCAGAGACAATAGAGTTTACATTTCAGTGCATGCCCCTTCCCACACCTCCTCCCAACGCTGAAGTTCCAGCTCTGGTTGGCCCATTGCTCTTAACTCTGAAGAGCCAACTCAAAGCAACAGGGAAAATATTTCCCACCCAAATTTGGCATAGGAAGATCATCCCGCTTCAGTCCCCTGAAGGATCCTAAGTTACCTAACAGCGATTTATTATGTCATGAATGGTCACGTTTCCTTCATGTTGGTGATGAGGGGAAAGTTACGGTATTTTTCATTTTTACTTAGCTGGATATAATGAATTCCACTGATGGCCTATTTCTGAAATCCACCAATCAAAGGAAATTGTAAAGTTCACCATAGTAACAGTTCTGTGTCAGTGGCCCACATGAGAACCACACAGCCTGGGAGGCACCGCAGCTGAGGCGGCACTGGCCAATCGCGGGGCAGAGTGATGTTACCATCTCATAGCAACCAAGGGATCTGCATGGCAACATCAGTTGCTATATAAAAGAAAAATTAGAAACAATATTCTGTTAGGGAGAAATAAAGATATTAACTGTTAAGTCATACTTGAGTCACAGTTGTGAGGACCTATCCCAAAATATCCACCTAAACGTAGCTCAGATGATACCTGCCAGATTCAGGTCCACATGTCAGGAACATTCTCCCCCACCAACTGGCACCACCTGAGGAGTGAGAGAGAGGAGTACGTCCAGAGAACAGACCACTTCTGCACAGGAAAGAGAGGGCCCTTTGAATACCACAGAGCATATTTGCGGGGTAAATTACACATAAATCATCACATTTAGTCTTGTGAGGGAGGCAGGGCAAAATTATTATTATCATCATGTTCTCCATCTAGCTCCCATCCCTTCCTCCCCCGGCTTTCCCATCTCAGTTAATAGCTACACAATTCTTCCAACTGCTCAGGCCAAAAACCTCTGAGTTCTCCTATTTTCTTTCTCTCACACCCACATCCACTCCATCAGAAACGCTATTCATTCTTCCTTTAAGCTATCTCCAGAATTCAGCCTTTTCTCACCACCTCCACAGCTACACCCTAGTCCACTCCACCACCTGTCACGCAGAGACAATAGCCTCCTAACCCGTTTCCCTGCTTCCCGGGTAGGCCTCCCTATGGTCTATTCTCAACACAGCAACCAGAGTGACCCTCGCAAAACGTAAGTCCTTGGCTCACAACCCTCCAATGACTTCCCATCATATCTCAATGTGAAAGCCCAATCCTTCCCAGAACTATGTGGCTTCACACACCTTGGCTAGGGAGCTGGCCCATCTCTGCTATTGTCTGCTTCTCTTAACTGCTCTAGCCACACTGGCCCCCTCGCTGGGCTTCTAGCACATCAGGCTCCTTCCTACCACGGGGCCTTTGCACTAGCTACCTCTTGCAGAACGTTCTTCCCCCAGAGACCCTCACTTCATTCAAGTGTTTGCTCAGATGTCACCTTCTCAGTGAATTCTTCTCTGACTTATTTTAAAACTGGACTGTCTATACCCATAGCCCCTCACCCCCATCCCTAGCACCAGTGGGCACCTAGAACAGTGCTGGCATACAGTAAGTACTCACTCAATATCTAACGATGAATAAAGGAAGCACTGTTTTAGAGATAATCGGGCTCAAGAAGCTGAATTATTTACTCAGAGGCTCCCAGCCAGGATGCATTAGAGCCCAGACTTGAACCCAGACTTACTCATGCAGTGACTCCCACACTGGGCTCTACCCTCTCTACCTCACTTTGATTTCCTTTTCCAGATCTACTACCACTTCTAAGTGCCAGGAAAGCATGAATTTTCTGCGAAGGCAAGAGGAATTGCTGGGCTGATGGCGTGGCTGTGCAGACAGCCACAGCAGGAATAGAGAGTGGGGGTGAGCTGGCCCAGACCCTGAGCGGTGCCCCAAGTGAAGCCACCCTTCCAAGGGAATTAGCAAATGGCTGAGACCATGTCAGCAAGACTGCCAATGACACCTCATTGATGATGACCTCTCCCTCCCTTCCAGGCCACTTCTCTTGGGGATAGAGACAACTCTTTTGAACATTCAGCATTCCTACCCCTATATTTGCTTGGGTCAAAAACAAGGATTTAAATGGAACTTCTAGTCTGCAAAGTGTTTTATCCTCATTTTTGCTAGTTTGTTATCAAGGAGTCTCAGAGTTGTATTAAGTGTATATTGCATGACTGATTGGGAAAAAATAGAGAAAATTCAGTCACCAGAGGTTTTTTGGTCTGTACAATATATAGTTTTTTGTTAACAGAAGCAGCTTAGTATTGTGGGATTATGAAAAACAGCATTTTTCCATTAAGATTATGCTGAACACTGGTAACAGCACACCTATATTCTCTACCCTGAATCTGGAGGTGGAGGGTAAGAAGTGGAAGAAGAGATGAGGTGGGAGCGGGGAAAGACCACCCAGAAACAGGGCAGGGAGGGGAAAACCAAAGGCAAGAACATTTTCCTTCCATGGCCTATATCAGCAATTAGGAAACACTGGTGTAGACACAGACATTGTCATCAATCCTGCTGTCGAAGAAAAAAAAATAGTCATGACTCTCTCACCAAGAAACTAGAAACATGAAAGACACAAACCAATAACAATAATCACTACCGCTTTTTGAGCATTTACAATGTAGTAAGCATTTTGCTAAGGGCTGTCATACAGTTTTACATTTAAGCCTCTTAGCAAACCTGGATAGGAGGAATTACCTCCCCATTTTATAGACTATTTACAGAGAAATTGAGTAGCTTACCCAAGGTCATACAACTAGAAAGTGACAGAAATGATCCAGTTGCCTCCATAATCCCTGTGTTTTTGTTGTTGTTGTTGTTTTTGTTTTTGTTTTTTTTCTTATTTCCAGCTTTTATTTTAAGTTCAGGGGCACATGTGCAGGATGTGCAGATTTGTTACATAAGTAAACGTGTGCTATGGTGGTTTGTTGCACAGATCATCTAATTACCTAGGTATTAAGCCCAGCATGCATTAGCTATTCTTCCTGATGCTCTCCCTCCTTCAATCCTCCTACTCTCTGGCAGGGCCCAGTGTCTGTTGTTCCCCTCCCTGTGTCCATGTGTTCCCATCATTCAACTCACACTTACAAATGAGAACATCCAGTATTTGGTTTTCTGTTCCTGCATTAGTTTGCTGAGGATAACAGCTTCCAGCTCCATCCATGTCCCTGCAAAGGACATGATCTCATTCCTTTTTATGGCTGCATAGTATTCCATGGTGTATATGTACCACATTTTCTTTATCCAATCTATCATTGATGGGCATTTAGGTTGACTCCATGTCATTGCTATTGTGAGTAGTGCTACAAGAAACATATGCATGCATGTATCTTTATACTAGAATAGAATGATTTATATTCTTTTAGGTATGTACCCAGTAATGGAATTTCTGGGTCAACTGGTATTTCTGCCACTAGGTCTTGGAGGAATCACCACACTGTCTTCCACAATGGTCCCTGTTTTTAATGGTTACATTGCACCTCCTCTCTCTACCATAAGATTAATTCATGTGATATAAAGAAACACGGAATAAATATAAAACCAGGAGGTGATATAAGGAAACATTAAAAAAAAAAATCTCAGTGAAAGTTCTGATCCTTTCCAAGAATGCAGAGCCCTGTGTGGAGAGCTAGGCAGGTATATGGAGGCCCTGAGGAACTTGCTTCACAGTTCCACTTCTCGTCCCCAAGGTAACACCATCATCCCCTCTATTTTGCACCACAAAATTAGTTCAATAATGATGGAAAAGGAAATGCTAATGTCCTGCTCACAAAGGTTCATGTTGCCCAAAGTTGTGGAACATATACTATTCTCTAATATTTTCCCTGTTGACATAAAACTCACAAGGTGTTTTGTTATATGGAGAACCCCAGGAGAGTTGAAATAGGGGATGGGGGAACCAAAGCTGTGTGCCCAAAGCAAATGTGTAACAATGAAACAGTCAAAGAACTAAAATAACTAACTCCATTTTTGTTGAAGGGGCGTCTACCCATTCCTGTATGTAGGCTAGGATAATTTTAGAACACTGAGATAATACACAAAAACAGCAATCATGTAGTTTTTAAAACTAACTCTGGGATTAAAGGAGAAGTATGTAAACAACTATGCTTTGTTAAACATAGTTAACTGTGCTCTTTAACTCGTTTATAGAAGCATTGTGATCTGACCAAGAACAAAGAAATTCCCACCCTTCTCAGACCCTCACTGCCAAGCAGATGTCTGTGATCACTGGTTACCTCTTGATTCTGACCCCCTCCTTTCCCCCTGTGCTTAACTTAAAAAGAGACTAAAATTTGTACTGACTTAGGATGGTGCTTTAGGACACCAGTCTACCTTCTTCTCAATTTGCTGGCCCTCCAGATAAACTTGCTTTTGCTCCCACCAACCCTTGTCTCTTGAGTTTTGGCTTCTGAATGGTGAGCAGCTGTAACCGAATGGAATTAGAGCAATGGAGTGTTCTGCTGAAACTTTTGGCCTCGCAGGGAGGAAAGAGTAGGTTTATATTAAAGCTGCTTTTCTTCCTCTGCTGCATCACATTCGTTCCAGTATTTTGCCCTACAAGCAAATATAAACCTAAACAGAAAAAAAAAGAAAGACGTTTTTTGGATTCCTGAATTAAAAACAAAAATCCAGCCTAACTTTACCCATGAACATGAAACCAACACACCATAGGACCTGGCATTCTGACACAGTCTGGGACAGTTTCTACCCAGGCTAGACTTTCAGAGAAGCAAATATTTTCCTGTATTCAAATGCATCTGTGTTACCTAATGTCAGGACTAGCCCTCACCTCCTCCTTTGCAGTGAAACTTCTGTTCGTCACCCCAGCCCTGAACTCCCTTAGCATGAGTTGTTTAGACTGGACACCTGTGTATTTGCAAATACTGTAGAAGGCAGTATGAGTTAGTGCAAAAGGTTCTGGGACCATAGAGCTGCAAGCTCAAATTCCAGCTTTGAGATTTGTTACTTGTGAGATTTTTGGTAGATGACTACCCTCTTCTACCTTTAGCTCCATCACCTGTCAAATGAACACAGTTAAACCCATCTTACAGAAGTTTTTTGGCATGGAATAAGTAAGCTATTGCATTGGGAAAGAACCTACTATAGTGCCTGGAACATATCAAGTTCATTATTATTTTGCTTAATTATTATTTTAAAAGCAAAATACATAAACAAATGAACAAGGAGATGGTCAAAATGGGAATGTAGTATTCTAATTGGATCTCAATCCTTGCTGAACTATCCTAATTAATGACATATGTATGGACTTCTCAGGAGAAAATTGAAGTGCAATCAACCCCATCCCCAAAAAGGAGTCATCCTACTCACCAATTTTCAAGATAATTCTTCTATTTTTCCCTCAAAATTGAACATCAGTTTTCTTCTCAACATACTCAAGGATAAAACCCCAGTCTGATGATATTAAATATTACATTTAGGCTCAAGGATGATGGGTTTCCCTTATGATCATGTTCT